AAACAATAGGCTAGGTGGGATTAGAATAAACAGCCTGAACAAGTAAACAGGAAGGCCAAAACTAAACTTTAGAGGCATGCCTCAATGAATAAGCCAAATGATTTATCCAGATGATATATATATATATATATATATATATATATATATATTATATAAGTTATTATTATATGATAGATCTACAAAATTTTCTTCTTGCAGATTTCTTATTTTTCCGTTTGACTATATATTGTTTGTTTTCTAAATCGATTTAATTTAAAGAATTCAAATGTTCGCTTAATTATTATTCAGTTCTTCACACAGAAGCTGTAGACACATCATATATGTTTATGATACGCCCAAGGCAATAGATAATTAAAGTGGTCTATCTGTTCTTGGAGACGGTCGTCCGCGGCCGCCAGGTCTGTGAGGTCTACCGTGCTCTCCACTATCGTGGTCACCACGTCCGCCATGCTCTCTACCACCATAATCTCCACGTCCGCCATGCTCGCCACCACCATCGTGGTGGCCAGGTGTGTGAGGTCTACCGTGCTCTCCACTATCGTGGTCTCCACGTCCGCCATGCTCGCCACCACCATCGTGGTGGCCAGGTGTGTGAGGTCTACCGTGCTCTCCACTATCGTGGTCTCCATGTCCTCCATGCTGTCCACCATTATGATCTCCATGTCCACCATGCTCTCCGCCACGGTGGCCATCATACTCTCCACTCTCACTGCTCTCACTGCTGCTTCCAGACGTCATCTGAGTAAAAAAAAAATAAGTAAGCGGTTGATATCCAATCGATCGTGTAGTATAGTATTTGGCCTGAATTAATAGGAAATGTTACTATATTTGTGTAGTCCTAAGTGATTTATCGTAAAAGTCGACAGAAGTTCATTAACTTCTATGTGATAGAAAATATTGGTTTATTAGAGAACTGAGACATGATATGTTAGTCGCAATGGAAAGATGTTGAATTAGTCTGTGCGAAATGCAAAATGACTGTGTAAGCTCCCCAGAGGGAGTGGAGAAAGGTACATTTTGTGTCGGTTTACCAGGATCTAAAGACTGTAGGGTCATCGCAAGCGTTTTGTATATCTTGCAAGGGCACGGTATAAATGTGTATAGTATTAAATGATACTATCCTGTCGTTGATTGTATAAGTTATACTTGAATGTACCGATTAAAAATTATTAGATCAATTAAGTTACTCGTGTAATACGAAACCCATGTTTTACCTACCTCATCATGTTCACCCTCTGACCTCAGTGCAAAATAGGTTCCGACAGCTGCAGCAGTTAACAGGCAGAGAACAGCAATTGTCAACAGAATGGCTTTACGATTACATTTTGAGGTTGAGGTTGAAGTCGATTTCTTCTGCTCTCCGGTTGTTACCTGTATGAAATGTTCATAATATTATCATAATAATCTGAGATTACAAACCCTTGCTCTATTGTGATACACACACACCCACACACACCCACCCACACACATACACACACACACACACACACACACACACATATATATATATATATATATATATATATATATATATATATACATATATATATATACATCTAGATGTGTATAAGAGACAGATGTTACTAACTACAAATATTTGTCAGGTGAAGTGTAGCTGAGCGGTGAAGGTGCACGTGTTATGTGTAAAGTTCTACTGTATTGGGTTCGAATTTCTCTCTTTATTATTATTATTATTATTATTATTATTATTATTATTATTATTAATATTATTATTATTATTATTATTAACTTTTTAATTATTTGTGCATTTATTGAAGTTTCATATATTATTATTCACAATTATTATTATTATTTTTTTAAATAAAATTGGGACAGCAAATAGTGATATATACGGCCCTAAAATACTTAAAATTATTATTATTATCATTATTATTATTATTATTATTATTATTTTTATTATTATTATTATTATTATTATTGTTATTTTAATTAATATTATTATTAATAATATTATTATTATTATTATTATTAATATTATTATTATTATTATTATTAACTTTTATTATTTGTGCATTTATTGAAGTTTCATATATTATTCTTCACAATTATTATTATTATTATTATTATTATTTTTTAATAAAATTCGGACAGCAAATAGTGATATATACGGCCCAAAATACTTAAAATATGCATTTTACTTCTCCACTCCATCCGAGAAAACGAGCCCTATCATCATAGGCCTCAGGTGGCATGCCCATCAACTGGGCTTGCACGCCGTCCAGGCCGCTTCCAGTCTGTCGGCCAAAATGAGGCATATGGTCGATCCGCTTTATTAGCACCAAATTCACTGGGGACCGATATGTAATATTATAAATGTGTTTAACTTTGAAGTAAATCGGTGTAGTTTTTGAGTTATGCGCCACAGACCGACACACTACAGACAGATAAATACACCAACAGACCCACAGATACACAGACACATAGGCTCGCGTTATTGCAATACCCTTCGCCTTTCCTTCGGAGAGGCGAGGGTAAATATCTCTAAATTCATTAAAAAATTACATAGTGGAAAAGCGGTCATCAACATAAAACGTAATGATAATTCTTTCTGGTTCTTGTCGTTTTGTAAAATGTCCAAAAGTCTGAGAAACCTGTTTTGGTTAATTATAAACAGAATGGACTGCAAGAACAGGTAACGAAGTCGGGGAGACCCAAAATCCAGATGGAAAGATTAGATTGTGAAATTTGCCTGCATGTTGTGGATGACAGCTAAAGGAGCGAGGTAAATATGTTTTACTTCGGGAGACGGCCAACAAGGACTGCGTTAATGATGGTGGTGATGATGGTGATAATGGTAATGATGAAATTCATATATTCGGTAGTTTTTGTGTCGTTCTTCAGATCAAAACTTTTGTTTGTGGAAAAATCATAAACAAACAAATACACCTTGCCGGGCTTATTACTTCAACATTGTAATTCTATATTGAAAATGCCTGAAACAGCACTGCCTGATACTGCAGAAAGCTTGCTTTAATTAATGACATTTTTGTTCTTTTTTTTTCTAGCTATCCTCTTTAATAATAGACCTATACATTTTTTTTACAATAGTTTTCATGGCAAAATTATAACATATTAAACCACGACGTTTTGTTGGCAGATACATTTTGCAGGTGACTACGAAGTCCACATTTATTACAACACATGTAACTCTTTTTAGCAGAAAAAATATCTGGAATTCCCCTTTTAAGTGAGTTTTGCAAACAATGAACAAAGTATTGACTTTTTCGGAACAGAAGTAAATAATAGGCTTACCTTGGCATACACACTTAGGACCTTACTGCTGGTAACTCAATTGAAGTCTTTTGTGTTAAATAATTAATCCGAAAACTAAAACATTTTATTCGTTTCTGATTGGAAGTTTATATCTTACTGGATCCAAGTAAATCTTTATTGTTTAATTGTACATAGTTTTTACTGTTTTTTCATGGTTTTTCTAATGTTGCTCTTAATGATTAAATAATAAATGGTAGGCTACCAGTTTAGCATACACGCTCTCGAGAAAGCACCCGCTCTTGAATAGGTGCCTCACTAAAATCAATAAAAATTGTAAGATTTACGGTAATCCTGATATTACATTTCATTTCTTTAGGCACGAGCGCCAAGGATACGCCAATTAGTAAACTTAATCACTATCATAGGTGGCATAGGCCTATCCATTAAACAACAGGGGACTGATTGGACCAGTACACCGGAGTAACCCCTACTCTTGTCGAATGATGTACTGGGTTCGTTAAAGTGCACAAATGCGTAGACTGGGCCTACAGTTTAAAGTCCTTGTCCTAGTGAGCCGTTCGAACCAGCGCCGAATTTATAAGAGCTGAAGGTTACGGTGCCACTGAATTAACCGCTCGGCCAATCAACTCGCCTTAACATTTACAAACATGATGTTTTAGGGGCTAAAGCCATTTGATGCTTGCCCCTTAGATCGCCACACATGATAACATAGTTTGCCAGCTGAAGTTTTATTCCCCTTTTAAAAGAGGTTATGCAATCAATGAAGTCCATAGTACAAGTTTCCAAGACAAACCCCAAAAGTTCATAAAACAAAAGTTGATAAAACAAAGTTGATACTGCACATTGCCATTCCATTGGGATCCCATCAAATAGAAAATAGAATGTTTTTAATGTTACTGCCCTTGTCGGAGGAAAAATAACTGTTTACAGCAATTAAGTTTGCTTTTTGTTTATCCTGTCACCGACAAGGGTGTTGTCCTGTCTTTTTTGTCCTTTTGTATTGTTGTTTGAATTGGCGAAAAATAAATGAAATGAAAGGAAATGAAAAATAATTTCATTGAAAAAAAAAATTCTTATACCTATATAAGCCTAAGTTTATGTTTGTATTAAGTTGTAGCAAAACGGAATTAGATTGTTCCATTCAACACACCAGACGTTAGGCATAGGTCTAATGGATCTTTCCGGAGTCTCAATCAAACCAAACAACTGACCAATCAGACAGGGCCAAGAATACGCACGTGTCTAAAAAGTGCACGTGTTGTCTCACAAGCACGTGTCCTTGCGTATGTTTTAACGCCATCGTTTTGTGGGACGTTAGCTTATATTGTATCCGATGGTATAGTTGGACATATCAATCTCGATAATGCTAACCGTCATTAGGCCGGGCACTCACTGCACCCGATACTCGTCTGCCGTCGTGATTCCGATGGAAAACGCAACGCCACGACGGATCGTTATTTAATGACCATCCGTTCAGACTGCCACTGACAATCAACAGACTCACAGGGAGACGACGATGTGGGTGCCCGGCTTTAGTAACTGTTAGCGGTCGTATGTGAACATAGCCTAATTATTACAAGAAGATTGTTATCTCATTCGCGCTCGTGAGTCATGCTGGGAGTTTGTAAGTCATGAATTGGCCTCAGTAGTAGAGAGAGCAGCTTGGCTCAGTCGGCTAATCTGGCGGAGAGCCACTGTGTGCGCTGAACCGTGGAGATCTCTTCGTCCCCGGTTAAATTCCCATCGCTGCCCTCCAGCTGAAACACAAGGTACAATAGCGCACCGTCTTTCGGATGAGACGTTTAAGCGGTTGGTCCCGTGTGCATTTATGGCTCACAAGAAACGCAGTACACTCTTCGGAAAAGAGTAGGGGATTTTCTCCCGGCGTTCTGCTTCTTCTAGACTCAATATTAAGTCTATGGACTATTCTCCGAAATTATAATAATAAATCCCAAAACAAATACTTATTAAGAGTTTAATTATATCACGATTTTAAATGTATACAACGACGATGAAACAGAATGGTTCTATGTGAAGTCAGGCACATATCTGTCAAAGCCTGTGTGAGGTCATTGTCATGGATATTAGAACAAATACAAAAGGAACAATTCCAAGGGTAGGTACACTATAACAAAGCAATGACGTATAGTATAGATTATGACAGTGCAAAAAATATGACAGATTGCTTCAAGTTTTAAAACGATTTGATAAATAAATATATTATACTTTGCATAGAGCAATTATATATTTCAAGGACCCCAATGCAAATAAATGCTTTCTTGGGCTATTCCTTGTAATTTTCACGTTTTCAATCAATTTGTATCCCTGTCATTATTTTGTAATGGTTTGCAGGTTATTGTATGACTCTACGAAAAAATTAAATCAATCAATCAATCAGTCGACTTTGTGATGGGGGTCCAAAGAAGGTGTCTTACTCTGTTCGTGAGTATGTGCTTCGTAGGAAACCGGATCTAGCTACGAAGGGTATTTTGTCCAAATGCAGTATTACACTCGCTTTGATAGTGAGATTGCAGGTTCGAATCCCGTCCGATACATTTTTCATACAACTTAATAAAGGAACTTTTCGTTGAAGGGCTACGCTTGTTATGGTTATAATATCTTGTACCTATCTGAACACTGTTATTATTAATAATCAATTTGTTTATATATATATATAGGCCTATTATATATATATATATATATATAGGCCTATTATATATATATGTATATATATATATATATATATATATATATATATATATATATGACATAAAGCTTGAAAAGTGTAGCTTAATCAAAAAAAAAAGCTTCGTCGGCGTATTGTGCTGGTTACATAAGTATATATTTTCTGACACAAAGGTAGTATGTTTACGGCGTTCTTAAAGATATATGGACTAAAATGGAATCATACGTTAGTAATATAGGCCTACATATGATATATAGATATTGCTAATATTTTATAGACCTAGTGATAATGTGTATTATTATGTCATCATATGAGTCTACATTTATATCATAATATATATCAAAAAAATAATTTGCTTTGTTATACCAATAGGCCAAAAAAAGGAAGGTTGTTGTCATTTTATACAATATGAAGTTATCATATACTGTATATATTATATATTTTGTTTTAACCCTAAAAATTATAATTGACTTTGGAGTAAAATATAACTTGACAATAACAGTACTCCATCAATGGACTATTTCGCTAGCCTTGTGATATACAAAATGCACTAAACCCTTTGCAGCAATGGAGTGTCAATGTACCAAAGGAACAGTCCTTGATTATCGGCATGCTATCGAGACACTGAATTAAGATTATTTTGATGTACCTACCACAACAACACACGGGTCCTCCTTCTTAAGGTCCACCTTCTGATTTTCACTCGGGTATATAGTCGGCTTCACCATCTTTTGATATTAGTTAACAGGTGCATACAACGAATGGTTAACTGTTTGCAGTTCTACGCAACGTTTGATCAATTAATGCGGTTCAATAGATATTTGTTATTTTGCAAAGACCTTTGGAAGGCAAACAGGCTGATAATGTGATGGCTTTAGTTGCCATTGGCGGCTCGTACGCCGGTTAAGGTTATTTTGGTACATTACGTAATGTATTGATTTAACCAGCAACTCTTTCTACTTGTAATTGTATTATTAAAGTATAAGCTTTTCTATTGGAGCATTTGAAATACACAATTATGTATTTTAGGATTTTATACTTTAATTTATGTCAGTATAGCATATGTTTCTCGTAAAAACCAGTAGAATACATGATGTTCCTAATAATGATTTATAGACAGAATTTAATTCTTTTTTTCAATCGATTCTTTTAATCGGAATATTAAAATCGCAGCAAATAACTTTAATCCATGAATCCGACCGCCTTTCGGTTTCTTTACCAAAACTGAGATAAGACGCGTTACTTCTTGGTTACCTGCAAACCTGTTCTTGGAGCATCTTTGATAAAATGTTAGATATTTACCTGGGCCATGCATGCTATGCTTGTTATTGTGGATTATTTTGAAATTTTTAAAGACGTTTTCAACTTGCTTTGATATCCTCATTTTTGTTTAATAGTGGAAATTAATACTTAATTAATCATTAATAAGACAACAATGTATTTAAAACTAAAGACAAATATTGTTATTCTTTAACTTTCTTTAACTCGTGTTGTATAACTTGCAGAATAGACGTGAACTGGTAGGAATACTACTAAAAAGAACGTGTCTACGGTAAGTTTTGTTTTATTTAACAAGCAATTATAAATGAACATTTAAGGTTAACAAATAAGATACACTTGATTAATCTATTGAATGAATATGACAAGGTTTTCAATACAAAATATTTGATGTAATACCGTACCAGTTATCTATGAAGTATTTTAAACTACAAAAATATTCATATTCTGTGTCATGTTCTATAAATTTGCTAATATAAAGTTTAAATAATAAAGTTTTTAATTTTATGTACCGTATATTCTAAAAGTGAAATATCAAAGTATCTGAGTAGGCCAGCCTATTGTAATCAATCAAATTTATAACTATATATATATATATATATATAATTATTATATATGTAATACATTTAGGGAAAACGCCAAAGGATCTGCAATTTCTAAGAAAGTTGTGTCTGCGTCTGTTTGAGAAACTTAGGAACACTGGGACTGCTGAAATTGCTTTAAAAATAAGAACAAATTGAGGTAAAATTTCAAATGCGATAATTATGTTCTTTTTTTTAATCTAGAAAAAATATTTTAATCTTATTTTTATATAGGCACAGTAGGTGTGACAATGATGATATCCTTTGTAATACAGTACAGTATATTTGCCTGTCTCTTATACACATCTAGATGTGTATAAGAGACAGTATTAAAGGTGTTGAATAATCAAATTGGTACGTAAATAAAATAGAGTTACTGTTTGAAATTTGCCGCAATTTGTTGATTCTGCTATTCAATAAACTTTATCTTTGTATAGTATTATATATTATAGATATAATGTATGGTTACAAGAGTAGCAGCTTTAGCAGTAGTAGTAGATAGGTAGTAGTCGTAGAAGAGTGTGCTGCAGTGAGTAGTACTTACCAAGATGATGAAATTTACCATGGAACTCTTGGGTGACCAGGTGGTATCTCAGGCACAGCAGGCGGCCATGGAATATCGGGTGGGGTTACTGGGCGCCAGTCTGGCCATCTTCTATCGGGTCGTCGGGTTGCATCATCTGGGCGCCAAGGCCATCGTCTATCGGGTCGTCGGGTTGCATCATCTGGGCGCCAGTCTGGCCATCTTCTATCGGGTCGTCGGGTTGCATCATCTGGGCGCCAAGGCCATCGTCCATCGGGTCGTCGGGTTGCATCATCTGGGCGCCAAGTCCATCTTCTATCGGGTCGTCGGGTTGCACCTGGGCGCCAATCTGGCCATCTTCCATCGGGCCGTCGCGTTGCACCATCTGGGCGCCAATCTGGCCATCTTGGAAAAACAGTAGCATCTGGGCGCCAATTTGGCCATCCTCTACCGGGTCGTCGGGTTGCATCATCTGCATCATGCTCTCCACTATCGTGGTCACTATCCCCACCATGTTCTCCGTTATCACCACGGTGGCCGTCATACTCGCAACCCTCACCACCTTCACTGCTGCTTCCAGACGTCATCTGAGTAAAAAAGAAAATTAGTAAGCGGTTGATATCCAATCGATCGAGTTGTATAGATTTTAGACTGAAATAGAAAACATTGTTAAATGTAGGCCTAGAGTTGGAAGTCAACAGAAGATCATTTAACTTAAACTTCTATTTGAAAGAAAATGACAATGGCGTCGTTTGATTTTATCAGAGATATTAAAGAACTCATAGATATGGATGTGTCCATGTCGCAATAGAAATATGTTGTATCATTCTGTGCAAAATGCAGAACGGCTGGGTAAACTGTCCAGAGGGAGTGGAGAAAGGTACATTTTGTGTCGGTTTACCATAATGGACCCAATGACCAGGGTTTGCCGTCGCCAGCGTATGATGGATATGGACATCCTCGTTAGAGATTGTTGAAATAAAGGAAGACGGAAACATTTATATAATGTTTCCGTCCTCTAACCTTTTTTTAGATTTTAAGAATTGGATGTACGGATAATAAATGAATAGGCCTAGAGTAATTAATTTACTTGTGTAATACGAAACAAATTACTTACTTCATCATGTTCACCCTCTGACAACCTCAGTACCAAATAGGTTCCAAATGCTGCAGCAGTTAAGAGGCAGAGAACAGCAATAGTCAACAGAATGATTTTACGATTACAACATCTTGAGTTTGAGGTTGAAGTTGATTTTTCCGGCTCTCCGGTAGTTACCTGTTAAATTCATAGTATTAAAGGCCATCTTCTATCGGGTCGTCGGGTTGCATCATCTGGGCGCCAAGGCCATCGTCTATCGGGTCGTCGGGTTGCATCATCTGGGCGCCAGTCTGGCCATCCTCTATCGGGTCGTCGGGTTGCATCATCTGGGCTCCAAGGCCATCGTCTATCGGGTCGTCGGGTTGCATCATCTGGGCTCCAAGGCCATCGTCTATCGGGTCGTCGGGTTGCATCATCTGGGCTCCAAGGCCATCGTCTATCGGGTCGTCGGGTTGCATCATCTGGGCTCCAAGGCCATCGTCTATCGGGTCGTCGGGTTGCATCATCTGGGCTCCAAGGCCATCGTCTATCGGGTCGTCGGGTTGCATCATCTGGGCTCCAAGGCCATCGTCTATCGGGTCGTCGGGTTGCATCATCTGGGCTCCAAGGCCATCGTCTATCGGGTCGTCGGGTTGCATCATCTGGGCTCCAAGGCCATCGTCTATCGGGTCGTCGGGTTGCATCATCTGGGCTCCAAGGCCATCGTCTATCGGGTCGTCGGGTTGCATCATCTGGGCGCCAAGTCCATCTTCTATCGGGTCGTCGGGTTGCACCTGGGCGCCAATCTGGCCATCTTCCATCGGGCCGTCGTGTTGCACCATCTGGGCGCCAATCTGGCCATCTTGGAAAAACAGTAGCATCTGGGCGCCAATTTGGCCATCCTCTACCGGGTCGTCGGGTTGCATCATCTGCATCATGCTCTCCACTTTCGTGGTCAGTATCCCCACCATGTTCTCCGTTATCACCACGGTGGCCGTCATACTCGCCACTCTCACCACCTTCACTGTTGCTTCCAGACGTCATCTGAGTAAAAAAGAAAATTAGTAGGCCTAAGCGGTTGATATCCAATCGATCGAGTTGTATAGATTTTAGACCTCAATAGAAAACATTGTTAAATGTAGACCTAGAGTTAGAAGTAAACAGAAGATCATCTAACTTAAACTTCTATTTGAAAGAAAATGACAATGGCGTCGTTTGATTTTATCAGAGATATTAGAGAACTCATAGATATGGATATGGATGTGTCCATGTCGCAATAGAAATATGTTGTATCATTCTGTGCAAAATACAGAACGGCTGGGTAAAGCCTGGTTTCCTGTCGACGTAAAGATCAGAATTTCTTACGTTTCATACGTTTCTTACGACTCTTACGCAAAGTTGAAATAATGCCGACGTCAACGACGTTTGCGTTGATCGTGTTGGGCCGCAGATAAACAAGCAATTTTCAGCCGCTTACGAAAGTTGAACTTACGACGTTGAACTCCATCCAGAGTCCAAAACGAGCGCTTGCGACTGTTACGTTGAGTTGAATTTTTCTTGCGATACGACGACATAAAAATGACGTAATTTGTAGTCACTTACGATTGGCTGCTTTTCCCACTAATCCTTGTTACCCAGGGTTTTCGCGCGAATTTAGGCCTCTACCTCTTTATATTATGAGCTGCACTGTAAATGTTAGCAAAACGTCTAACATTAATAACATGGATTATTGCAAAGAAGTTAGGCCTACATTATTAAAATACAAAAAGGCTTATTTGATGTTTGTAAAATTCATTTTGTTTCACAATGATGCTTCGAACATTCCCTGAACATTCGTTTTTCATACCACCAAATTTTAATTCTGGGAAACTGAATTAATTGGCCACGGCCTCGAGGTGCTTGTCACCCAATCTATTTTGAGAGAAAGATTATGACAACAAAAAAATTGGTACGCGGGAAAGTTGGATTGGTGGTAAACTTTAGCCCTAATTGACAAAATAGATATAAAACGGTCCTCACTCCTGCTGTATATATGGCCCCCTTGGTTTGTGATAAAATTTGTTATTTTCATTTTGACTAGGCCTACTCTTCTCATTGAAACTAATTTGTTGCAGTATTATTCATTATACTGTACCATCATTGTCGTCATTACCATAATCAAACGATGCTGCTGAGCTAGTGCTACTAATCCACTGGCATGTATGCCTATTTGTGTGTAACTGATACATTTTACAACCCCGGGTTTTAGGAACACTGGGACTGCTGAAATTGCTTTAAAAATAAGAACAAATTGAGGTAAAATTTCAAATGCGATAATTATGTTCTTTTTTTTAATCTAGAAAAAATATTTTAGTCTTATTTTTACATAGGCACAGTAGGTGTGACAATGAAGATATCCTTTGTAATACAGTACAGTATATTTGCTGTGAAATTATACACATCTAGATGTGTATAAGAGACAGTTGCCAACATGATCCATCGTCGAGAGTACAGACGGCACTCATTGGAATGAATTAAAGAAAGCTGTTCCTGTGGAATATCGGCCATGCCTTCATTCCCTAAAAGATTAATGCCGCTACCACCACACAAGTTTCTGGTATTGTGTTGTACTTCTCAATGTGTTGATCTGGACTGAACTGGTCACAATAAACGTGGGATCATTGTCAGGTGTGAGTTGAATCGGACAAATTATTATTAGCCGAAAAATAAGAACACTTAGCCTCGGCAAAATTGCTCTGGTTCTTATATAAAAAGAAAGATGTAGACCTATGAGTATATTATGTTATTATATGTTTATTAAAGCATGGAATAACACTTGTTTCATAATTATTACTTGCACAATTTAAAATATATTATTTCTCCCGATTAAACCTATAGGCCTAACTATTTAAAAAAAAAAATTCATACAACCACTTGACTGGAAATAGGAATGGTTTACAACAGATTTATTTCTGAACAATTCGCTTGGTACCGTATTATACGATTGTAATTGAAACAAATCCTTGTTTATTTTCGAATTCAATTTCAGTATAGTAATGATAATAATAATAAGAAACCCAATTGTATAGGCTACTGCGTGGATGTGTGGCGTATTGTAGACTACTCAAAGAAGCAAGAAACGCAGAATTTTCATAGGGCCTATATTTTTTCTACTGTAGAACAATCTGACCAGTTTCAGCATAGAGAAAATAGTTCTATTTTCTCTATGGTTTCAGCCACGTCAAAACGTGGTACGTCATAAAGGCTACGTCATAATTCTCGTATCTGATTGGCTGCTTCTTACGATTTCTGGTCCATAATGCTACGTCTCTTACGAAAGTTGACTCCAAGTCAACTTTCGTAAGAGACGTAACACAAGGCAACGCAAGCATGATCATTCAAGCATAAGTCACTGAATCGCGGTTTCCTGTCAAATTGTGGAAAATCGACGTATCGCAAGAAAATTCAATACGACGGTTTCCTGTCCAACATTGCTTTGCGACGATTTAACCTTACGTTACGTCGATTTCACAACGCACCAGTCGCAATCGGTTTCCTGTCAAATCGCATTTTGTTATGATAAAACGACGTAGTCGTAAGTAAATCTGCCTTCTTACGTCGACAGGAAACCAGGCTTAAACTGTCCAGAGGGAGTGGAGAAAAATACATTTTGTGTCGGTTTACCATAATGGACCCAATGACCAGGGTTTGCCGTCGCCAGCGTATGATGGATAGGGACATCCTCGTTAGAGATTGTTGAAATAAAGGGGGACGGAAACATTTCTATAATGTTTCCGTCCTCTAACCTTTTTTTAGATTTTAAGAATTGGATGTACGGATAATAAATGATTAGGCCTAGAGTAATTAATTTACTTGTGTAATACGAAACGAATTACTTACCTCATCATGTTCACCCTCTGACAACCTCAGTACCAAATAGGTTCCAAATGCTATCATTTCAATGAAGAACGAGTTTGTTTGTCAAACAAAAACCAAGGTATTTATATAGTTTTATGGTTATAGAGTTAGATTTATTCAACACCGGAACGTTAGGCGTATAGACCTTTTCGAAGTGTCAAACTTATGAATTGGCTCCAGTAGTGTCTTTTTCGTACCACGGAGAGATAAACATTGACAAAACAATGACGTATAGTACAGACAGAATAATAACAGAGCAAACAAAAAATAACAGATTACCTCAAGTTGTTTGAAAACGATTTGATGAATAAATATATTATAATTCCCATCGAGCACGATGCGAAATATATCGTTATCAAATTTGAGGCTGTCTGTATTAAGGGATGATTTGGGAAAACAGAGGGTGGGCGCTTAAACTGTATTTAGGGTGTCGCTCAAAATCTCTCGAGAGTGTTTCGCGGGGTGTGAGGCGGCGAAAATATGACAATGTAGGGGTTCCGAAGGCTTATTAATCGATTTTGTAGTCTACTAACATGTAGAAAATACATATACATTTTTTTCTCCCCAACGATTTGTGGTTTTCCAGATAGGGGTAGGGGAAACTTTTCCCGACAGGTGGAGGTGGGGAGGGGGAGAATGACTGGCGCTACCCCTTTCAACACCTGCGAGTAGAAGGACATTTTGATGATGAATGATGTAAAACTTGTTATTACCAAGGTGTATTTTTTACTGAGCAAGTTTTCATGTTGGGGCGCCTAGAGAGGAAGACCGCAAGCATTTGCTGAACGGAGTGGGGAAGGAACGTGGGTCAATCCAATCTGTTTAGCTACGCCATTGAGAAGCACCCTCAACATACAGTGCTTCGTATTCTTTGTTATTTTCAATTATTTTTAAATCTAAAGAATTTATTCTGTACCTAAAAAACGTTAATTCATAATGGACATAAAACAACAGTGTTACAGTATGTAATGGCCCTTTCGTCTAACCCTGCTCCGCCCCTTGGATTGGCACTAATGTCCCCCCAAAAGAACAGCGTAGACGTACGTTTTAAACATGTGCACTTGTAGAACGACACGTTCATTTGTGGGACAAATACGTATACAGTGACGGCGCTACGGAGGGGCATTTCCCCTTCCCCCAGAAAATGTGCTTTTCCCTAAGTTTGCCCCCCACCCCAAAAAAAAAAAAGAAAGAAGAAGAAAAACCATTGAGGAGAAAAATATGTTATGTATTTTCTACATATTACTAGACCCGATCTCCAACCCCCAGCACGGGGGCCAAATCCTGCCCGCCACTGAGATTTTGATCCGGCCCGCGAAACATTGGTAAAAATAAATCATTTTCCGGCCGATTTCTTTTTTCTGTTTAGAGCAACACGACATAGGCATTCCTACTCTAGCAACGTTGACACGAGTGTGGCTTTTTCCGAGTGTTGCTCACTGTATCTAGTGGCGTAGGGTACTGGAATGAGGAAGGGTAGGCAAATACTAGGGACAATGGATTAAGTGGGACACTGATAAGATGCGATGTCTAAACATTTGCGGCACCAGCAGACTCGGGGCATGTTACTCTGTTGAAAACATTGCTTTGAAAACTTAGTTTTGAGTCTGAAAGTGCAAAATTAAAAAAAAAAAAAAAGAAAAGAAAATTAAATTCACATTTAAGTCTGCGAGTGACATTTCCGACCATCTAGAGGTGCCATAATCATACATTTTCTTGCCTCAGCCCCAACCATGGTGGGTCTGGGTGGTATTTTCCCCTATCTCTGAAAGTTGTTCCCTGGCCTCTTCTATTTCGAATTCACCGTTATAAAAGAAAGTGGAACGGCTCTCCGTTGGTCTCAACAAGCCGGAACTGTCCCCCACCTCAAAAAGGTTGAATACCAGGGTACTGACTATCTACTTATAAAATCGATTAAATAAGCCTCTGAAACCCCTAAACTGTCATTGAACGACGCCCGACCACGCCCACCTCTGGCCACCCCAGCATATTTCTCCAAATTTTATCTTTCCAACAATTCAATACAACAGTTATTTTTTTTCTTACAATTTAGGGGGTGCGGTGGCACCGTCTGCACCTCCCCGCCCCCTGCATCCGCCCCAGCTGAGCCCTGTTTTACACGATCATCAATCTCGCGACAATCATTACTGTACACTATGGAGTAGGCCTACCTCACCTAAACGACGTCTAAACATCAAAATTCCATTATGTCTCTTGTGATTGAAAAAAAAATTGACTCTCCAAATTTCCCCTTAATATTGCCCTCAGCAAGCCCAGCAATGTTGACCCCAGTCAATAATAAATAAAAAAAAAAAGAATTATTATTATTATTAATAATAATAATAATAATAATAATAATAATAATAATAATAATAATAATAATGAAAATAATAATAATGATAATTATATAGATGGATCTGTATAGCGTAATTTTGGTGGTACATTCTTTCACACCATGATAAGTGCAATTATATAATTCAAGGACCTCAATAGAAATATGTTTTGACTTTCTTGGGCTATTCCTAGGGTCTTGTTTTTGTGCAGTATTATTCTCTCAGTAGGCCTATTTTGTTTAATTTATTCTCGTATATATTTTATGACTCTAAAAACGAATAAAATAAATAAATCAGTTAATCAATCAATCAATCAAACACTCGACTTTGTTATGAGTATTTTAAAGGAAGGTGCCTTGCGTACGTGTTTATGTAATTTGATGTTTTCGAAGGGCATTATTTTGTGTACAAATGCACGTATGACACTTGGATAGGTTGCAGTTTCGAATCCCGCTAGAATTTTTTTATACAACCGAATAAGGGAACTTTTCGTTGAAGGGCTATATGCTTGATACGATTATAACATCTTGTTCCTATTTGAATGCTGTATATTATTCATCAATTTGTTTATACACAACACTGATGAAAACTAATAAAAATAAGCTTCGTCGGCGTATTGTATTGGTTATATACAAGTATATACTACGGACAAAAATAATAGTAGGTTTAACTGTGTACTGTTTCAAAATAATAAAGATAAAGCAATCATACGTTAAATGGCAAGATAGACATATGTGTCACCATAAGTCAGCCTAAAATAATTAGCTTTGTTATTACCCATAGACGGAAATAAAAGGTTGTTGTCATATACATATATATATATATATATAGCTTTTCAACGTAGCGTAGCATTGTGTAATACAATGTTTCCGACGGTTATTTGGACCTGTTTAACCATGAAGCCTTTGTGGCCTAGTGGTTATGACGCTCGCCTTGTCAGCGAGAGGTCGCAGGTTCGAATCCCGTCGGAGGCATTTTATTACACAATGACTTTTTATTAGTTAAAATTCGTTAAAAAGCTACAGGGTAGCCTACGATGTTCCATCATGTCCTTATTTAAACACTGTATATGTACCTTTGATTATTTATATTTATTCAACAGTGTTAACGGCTAACTTCAATATATATAATGAATAAGTTATTTTAATCCTAAAAAGTTAAAAAAATAACTTGAAAGTAACATAGTTCCAACATTGTAATAGGCCATTTCGCCAAGCCACGTGATATACAAAATGCACTGATCGTATAACCTACTGATGTTGATAATCAGCTGGAGGGCTGAAATACAAGTTACAATAGCGCACCGTCTTTCGGATGAGACGTTTAAGCCGTTGGTCCCGTGTGCATTTATGGCTCATGTGCACGTTATAGATGAACGCAGTACACTCTTCGGAAAAGAGTAGGGGATTGTCACCCAGTGTACTGCCCAATCACCACTAGAAGGACCCCACTGGAAAGAATTCTTCTAGACTTTCGTGGGCTATCCTTGGTGTTTACATCGAATAAATCCAATCCAATCCAATTCAATCCAAAATATTATTATGTCATCATATGAGTCTACATTTATATCATAATATATATCAAAAAAATAATTTGCTTTGTTATACCCATAGGCCAAAAAAGGAAGGTTGTTGTCATTTTATACAATATGAAGTTAACATATACTGTATATATTATATATTTTGTTTTAACCCTAAAAATTATAATTGACTTTGGAGTAAAATATAACTTAACAATAACAGTACTCCATCAATGGACTATTTCGCTAGCCTTGTGATATACAAAATGCACTAACCCTTTGCAGCAATGGAGTGTCAATGTACCAAGAGAACAGTCCTTGATTATCGGATGTACCAAAGGAACAGTCCTTGATTATCGGCATGCTATCGAGACACTGAATTAAGATTATTTTGATGTACCTACCACAACAGCACACGGGTCCTCCTTCTTGAGGTCCTCCTTCTGATTTTCTATCGAGTATATAGTCGGCTTCACCATCTCTTTTTTGCAGGTGCATACAACGAATGTAATTACCTGTTTGTACTACGCAACGTCTCATCAAAATGATGCGGTACAATAAACCATGGGAATAAACATAGTGTACGGTATTTGTACAGTATTTTACAAAAGCATGCCCGGGGAGATGTAACATTTGCCTGGTAGGCCTTTGTAATGTAAAACAGGTTGATAATTAGATGGATTTAGTAGCCGTTGGCAGCGTTGTACGTCGTTTAAGGCTATTTTTGTCCATGACGTAATGTATTGACTTACTTTAACCAACAACTCTTTTCTGGTTGTAATGGTATATTAAAAGCACATTCTTGAATCATCACATCACAATTTTGAATTTTCGGTTTTTACATTTTCAATTTAAGTTAGCTCAGTATATAAAATTGTTTTCTCGTTAATTAACAGTGGAATACAGATAATGTTCCTATGATTTATAGACTTTTATATTAGCTGGTAGTACGTTTAAAGTTGTAGTAAAACGTCTGCGAAAACCTAATTGTTAAGATATATCGTAATGTACCTAATCAAGCCTGCACAGAATGGCCAGGCGAAAGCCTGTGGAATATATGATTTATTTAATTTTTTTAAACCTATGTTTTATTTTAAAAATTATATCTTTTTTCACGATTCAATTGGTAAAAGCTGGTAAAAGTAATTTGTTTGAGGCCTAATGATGTTCAAAATATTGAATCACAATG